TTAACATGAATACCCGACTCAGGCACAGTAACCCGACCAGTCCTTGTTTAATCCTCTTAATGTCGAGCGCCAGGCAGGGTAACAAAAATACCATTTCTAACGTCTAACGCCGACTATGTTGACTCTAAGGTACACGGCAACCAAATGTCTATCTATTTCTTACACCACGCAACGATTTTTCTGGTGTTTTCTATTTAAATAACGAGAAATGAAAGAACTGGCTATTATGAATTAAAAAAAAAAATGCTTTAATGTGAGTTGTATTTGATGGGGGAGAAAGAAATACCTAACGTCGTATGGCAGGAGTATTGATGTGCGGCGTCAGACAAGTTAACAGACTCTGATTCTATTATGCCAATTGTTTGAGAGGCGCTTGGATTTTATCCCAACAAAACAATCCCCCCATCCCCCCCCCCCAAAAAAAAAAAAAAAAAAAAAAAATAGTAATGCTTTAAATTGTTATAAAAAAAGTCAGACACAAAATTACATTATTACAATGTGCTTTTAAAAAAATAATTTGGGCTCCTAGTTTTAATTAAAAACATATCATGTTTCAACACAAAAACCCACAAGAAGCTGTCGCCATCTTACAGTCGGATACAAACACAAAATGCTTGAGTCTATTCGGTACCTTACATAGGTGTGGCTTCACTACTATAATGCGGTGTCTTTCAAGATGCTTGGTATGTATACAAGCACCGTGCCCTTATAAAACATAATTTGTGTTTTTCAGCTAATGGTCCCCTCTGGTCCTCGGCAGACCGCTTTATCTGTAAAAATTAAACTAATTTGTTTTACTCTGCATTGAATCATACAATAACAACATTGTTAGTGGTTCCATGACGAAAAGGCAATTGCATGCCGATGTTTCTACCTCGAATCACGACTTGCACGTTGAGACTGGCCGATGGCAGAATATACCAAGAGAAGGAAGACTTTGTCAACTCTGTGATTCACGTTCAGTTGGAGATGAGTTTCACTATCTTTTCACATTCGGAGCTCTTCTTCAACAAACAATTCTGTATGTTCCAAAAACTACTTGTGACCAAATATTTTTAAACTCTGTAGAACTGTATCACCCAAAAGGCTAAAAGATATAAGAAATCTGTCCAGATATATTGTATGTCTCTGTAAGTCTTTATAGCTGTAAATGTTCATGTACCCCCGGTAGTGGTTTCCCTGAGAATAAACTGAATCTGAATCCGAAACATGATTGGCTAACCAAGCAATTTCTTTAAAGTAGGACACCTATGACCACAAGTGTTGATGTTTTCAGCACGATTTGCGACACTTTCAGCAATGAACATACAGTTATCATCAATTAACACACTGAAACACGCCCATGGTCACATAATGAACTATTCTCGAAATAATTCCATTTATTCCAAAGCTATAGATATGTTGGCAAAGAGCGGTCAATGAAGTTGTCAATGTCCTGTTTATTATGGTAAGTGTATGTAAACATATGACAGTGGTGCTTATGTCAGCCTTGTTGTGTTACCGATGTTGGCCCATTAACGATACTGTGATGGACGCTATCTGATAATAGTATCTAAGTGCGCCAGTATTGGCAATACCTTACCGATGAATAACACCGGAGCCTAATGACTGACCAACGTTATTCGCTTGAGAAACATCAGCATTATCTTTCAATAAGGGAGGTTTTCACTAAAACTACTTATACGCATTTAATACTACAGAAGCGTACTTAATAATAACCTCAGCAATATCCGCAACTAGGGCAATGAATCCGTTATCAGCAGCAACTTGCAATTATGTCATATGTCACAGTATGTCAGCTCGAACACTTCAAGTGACGAATGTATATATCCCTCCCTCGAACACAGGTAGTGGGTTGTTACACCACGTATCATGGTCTGGGATTCGAACCTCAGGTCAGCCGAGCTCTGCACGGCTAAGAGACACAAGTCAGTGCAAAGAATTGCTCTGTCTTTGACCACAAGGCCAACTCTTTCCCAGATCTAGGAATGTATATATTTTTTAAGTAGATAATAAGCGTTGCTAGCTGTGTATGACTTGAAAAGAACATGTAAATAAAAAAAATCCTATTCATAAGAAATCTGTGCCCAAAACAGAGTCGATTGTACGATTTCGACTGTAATAGTGATAATACCTGGTGTTCTCGAACGGAATCACACAATGGACTCTGGTTTTAGCAGAGTTTACTTCTGATTATGGAGATTTATCGATTGTATTTACTAAAAGAAATATGAGATCCCACCATGGACATGTAATACACTGCTTACTTCACGGCACAAAAAGCATACTTTATAATATAAATAAACATGACAAAGCCTGTCCATATTCATAAGAAACCTCTGCCAAAAACAAATACTATTCTTACTATATCATGATCATGTGTTTATGAATCACTATGAAATAAGGATAATACCAGGTGCTCGCGAAAAAGTGAGCGTATCCTGCCCCACCGGTGGCACCCGTCACAAACACACGCAAAGGCAAGTCAATTGTTAACCTGACAAATAACACGGAACATATGTTACAAGTCAAAATGGGGATTGCATCCGATATAATTTTTGTCACCCATCTGAAAGTGTTCTCCACATGTCTTCCATGAAACTTTTCTAAGGTATTCTGAAGCCTTGAATGTTGTAACCTTGATCAAAGAACATCTGAGCAAGAGTAACGGCGGTAGATAGATATGTAACTGTATCTATGGTCACGACGATTAGTAACAAAAGCCCAATGGATCAAAGATTTTCCTTTTGGTTGTCTTGTGGGACAGTGGTGTATAAAGTAGAAAAATCACATGTTTTGACAGAATTGAACTTGGTTCTTTTCTGAGATTGTAAAAAGTCCAGATAATCCTTTGAGTTTTTTAGAATCCACATGGTATTAATTTCACTTTTCTCAAACACTTGCTGTGAATATAAAGAAAGTCCTTCCTAGATTGTAATAAGGATTATGGTTAATCTTTGCGGCAGGGATTTTGTGGTACATTTGCTGGATCCAGCAATATACCTCTCCTTGATCGGATTTTTAGTGAGCTTTGGAATCCAGTTCAAAAGTGGATTGAACATGTTGTCAGGTTTTAGAGTCAAGTCAAAAGTTGATAGTACTGATGCATGGTTTGGGCAGATTTCTTCCTCTTTCTTTCTTGGGTCTTATATGTGACATTATTTATATGACAATAATACCAAGTTCTTTGATTAAACAGTTAATGTAGTGATGCTTACATATAATGGTTAAGTTATTTGAGGCCTTGTCAGTGGGAACAACTTCAAAGTTTTATTTTGGGCAGCCGGGGTTTGAGTGAGAGATGGCTGGGACAGAATGGGTTTGTTTCATTTCTGTTTCCTGTTTTTCAGTTTGTAATTCTACCAATGACAACATCACGCACTGACTTCACTCATTCTGAAAGACATTCAACAGGTTCTTCTTCTCTTTTGGCACATATATCGGCATACGCTTCGACAGTATCCATATTGATCCCAAGCTGTGACCCCAATTGGTAGGAGGCTGCTCACATTGTGGTCCATATTTGAATAACTGACGAAGTTTGTTGTTGTCCACAATAGAGAAGTCACCTATGCTTATATTACCTACAGGTTGGTTGTGGTATGCTGAGTCTTGGCAGTCATAAATAGTGGAGTTTACATCATGAGCTGCAACGTTCACGTTCGGCAACACTTTCCTATAATTTTCTATGAGGCAATTGTGAACATAGGGACACAAATATAAGGTCTGGAAATGTGGAGGTGACATGTTCTTGCAAATGGTCCCTTTAAGTTATTTCTCATGCTCAACATGCTTCGACCTTTCTTTCACCTTTCTTCAATACAATGTACCGGTGTAGCATGAAATACATGCTGTACTGCTGCGGTTGGAAACCTAGCTTCAATACAATATAATGGTGAGGTGTGAAAACCTTTCTTAAATGCAATGTACTTCTGTGGTGTAAAAACCTTTCCTAAGAATTTACTGTTGTGGCGTGAAAAACAGGCTTTAATAAAATGTTCTGCTGCGTTGTGAAAACCTAGCTTCAATACAGTGTACTGCTATAGCTTTAAAAACATGCTTCAATACAAAGTACAGCTGCGACGTGAAAAAAATGCCTTAATACAATGCATTGGTGCGACGTGAATGACATGCTTTAATTCAATGTACTGCTGCGACATGAAAAACTGCAGTGTTCTGCTGTGTAAAACATTTGCTCACTCATAAATCAGATGTGTTTACGCGATTCCCTGCTTCTGTCTCTCCTTGACCGATGGATAGTGTTACACATTCACACGACCTATTACACATACGCTTCCTTATTAGGTCTGTGGAGATTTATGGAGGACGTCCATTTTTTCACTCTTCAGAAAACTGAATCTCACCCCTGGATGCGGATTATAATCACATCCTCAATTTCAAATCTGATAGATCTGTATAATCTGTTGTCACTACAAAGTAACTTATTGAGGTTTGCCTCAGCGATTTAGGTTTAATCCAGCAATGTTGGATGACATAAAGGCTGCGGACTGTCAGTATGTCCATGGGCATCGTTACTGGCAGGACAGATGACAGCTCATCGATTATACGCCTATTTTAGAATAGCATAAATGTCAACGCTCCCTATTCAAAACAGCTAAATGTCACTCGTTTCATATCTCACAGTAGGAGTTATGTACACACCAATATTGTCTGCAAATAATGGAGGCATATGATTCTCATAGCGGGATAAACACAGCCATACTGCCAAAACAAACACAACTTTTTCAAACTTGAATCTTTATCTAAAATATTATGATAGAGTACACTATTTTAGTGGAATGGAAAATCGAGGGGTGAGTTGATCGTTCATCGTCCGGATTAACTTTCGGAATTATGAATCATCGTAACGCAGTAATGTCTTTTGTGATGATGAGGATGTTCCTTACATAACTGACAGGTCCTGACACTACTAAGGTTTCACTGTCTATGTTTGGCAAACAGTTGAACCTCGTCAGTCCAGACCCTGTCTCACACCCTGCCTAACACCCTGCCTCACGCCCTGCCTCATACCCTGCCTCTCGCCCTGTCTCACACCCTGCCTCACACCCTGCCTCACACCCTGTCTCATACCCTGCCTCATACCCTGCCTCATACCCTACCTCACACCCTGTCTCATACCCTGCCTCATACCCTGTCTCACACCCTGTCTCACATCCTGTCTCACACCCTGTCTCACACCCTGTCTCACACCCTGTCTCACACCCTGTCTCATACCCTGCCTCACACCCTGCCTCATACCCTGCCTCACACCCTGCCTCACACACTGCCTCACACCCTACCTCACACCCTACCTCACACCCTACCTCACACCCTACCTCACACCCTGCCTCACACCCTGTCTCACACCCTGACTCACACCCTGCCTCACACGCTGCCTCACACCCTACCTCACACCCTGTCTCACACCCTGTCTCACACCCTGCCTCACACCCTGCCTCACACCCTGTCTCACACCCTGTCTCACGCCCTGCCTCACACCCTGCCTCACACCCTGTCACACACCCTGTCACACACCCTGTCACACACCCTGTCTCACACCCTGTCACACACCCTGTCTCACTACCTGTCACACACCCTGTCTCACACCCTGTCACACACCCTGTCTCACACCCTCCCCCCCTCTGTCTCACACCCTGTCACACACCCTGTCTCACACCCTGCCTCACACCCTGTCTCACACCCTGTCTCACACCCTGTCACACACCCTGTCTCACACCCTGTCTCACACCCTGTCTCACACCCTGTCTCACACCCTGCCACACACCCTGCCACACACCCTGCCTCACGCCCTGTCTCACACCCTGCCTCACGCCTAGCCTCACGCCCTGTCTCACACCCTGCCACACACCCTGCCTCACGCCCTACCTCACGCCCTGTCTCACACCCTGCCTCACGCCCTGTCTCACACCCTGCCTCACACCCTACCTCACACCCTGTCTCACATCCTGTCTCACACCGTGCCTCACACCCCGTCTCATGCCCTGTCTCACACCCTGCCTCACACCCTGTCACACACCCTGACACACACCCTGTCACACACCCTGTCTCACACCCTGTCACACACCCTGTCTCACACCCTGCCTCACACCCTGTCACACACCCTGCCTCACACCCTGTCTCACACCCTGTCTCACACCCTGTCACACACCCTGTCTCACACCCTGTCTCACACCCTGTCACACACCCTGTCTCACACCCTCCCCCCCTCTGTCTCACACCCTGTCTCACACCCTGTCTCACACCCTGCCCCACACCCTCCCTCACACCCTGTCTCACACCCTGTCTCACACCCTGCCTCACGCCTAGCCTCACACCCTGCCTCACACCCTGCCTCACACCCTCCCTCACACCCTGTCTCACACCCTGTCTCACACCCTGTCTCACACCCTGCCTCACACCCTCCCTCACACCCTGTCACACACCCTGTCACACACCCTGTCTCACACCCTGTCACACACCCTGTCTCACACCCTGTCTCACACCCTGTCACACACCCTGTCTCACACCCTGTCACACACCCTGTCTCACACCCTGTCTCACACCCTGTCTCACACCCTGTCTCACACCCTGTCACACACCCTGTCACACACCCTGTCTCACACCCTGTCACACACCCTGTCTCACACCCTACCACACACTGTGTCTCACACCCTGTCACACACCCTGTCTCACACCCTGTCTCACACCCTGTCACACACCCTGTCACACATCCTGTCTCACACCCTGTCACACACCCTGTCGCACACCCTGTCTCACACCCTGTCACACACCCTGTCACACACCCTGTCTCACACCCTGTCACACACCCTGTCTCACACCCTGTCACACACCCTACCACACACTGTGTCTCACACCCTCCCTCACACCCTGTCTCACACCCTCCCTCACACCCTCCCTCACACCCTGTCTCACACCCTGTCTCACACCCTGTCACACACCCTGTCACACACCCTGTCTCACACCCTGTCACACACCCTGTCTCACACCCTACCACACACTGTGTCTCACACCCTACCTCACAGACGGTTACTGAGGTGTAAATTAGGCTCACTCGCACTCAATAAAACCATCATTTCCTAATATAGAACCTTGATAATATGGATGATTTCAATCAGAACGGTACCGACAAGGTTAACGGGTGTCACTGAAGGTAGATGAGGAAGTGAAGTAATGTAATAGCTAAAATACTCCCAGTCCCAACTTGAGTACACTGATAGAAGTGAATGCCTCCCCAAAAAACACTCCCCACCCGATCCATTGGCTGGAATAATTCCAACGACAGCCAGACACCCAGCTCACACACTCGCAATGTACATCTGTACAGTTCATGAGCATGATATACATATATACTTTTCGGTACACCTTTTCTCATTTTATGAAACAGATTATGCACTTTATGCCATCTTAATGCGATTTTACCGAAACTGAAGATGGCCCACCCATCTCCTTCTAAAGGTCAGACCACTGTCGGGGGAAACCTGAAATGACGTTTGCCACTTTAATATGGATATTGTGTTGAATAACCAAGCATCATAATCAAGCAGAATCTGAACCCATTACCAGCGGATCCTGTTACGTCGACGGGGAGTAACCCTGCACAATGAATTGCAGCGCCGTTGGCCACTGTACCCTCCGTGCTCCTTTGTCCATTTATATTTTTTATACGAGATACATATAATACTTATGTCAATCTAGATACTGAAAATGTAAAAACGTTATTTAAATATCATAATCAATGTCCTTCAAATTTGAAATATCATTACACACTATCCTATCCACTGTATGTAGAACGACTTAAAGAAGGCTCAGTGTTTTTAATAAATACGTTGACTGCTTTGCAAATGTCATAAACATCACAGAACATTTGACATTTGAAATGAATGCATCATCAGTTTATTGTCCACAACATGTGTATATGTACATTGTGATCTTGACAAATTAAAAGACCAGACAACATATTCTCAAAATCAACTACATTCATATTTTAAATGACGTGAAATACCATCAAATCCAGTGTGTACAAACTGATACCGATATGATTCCTGTTATTTCGTAAACACTTTTTTAGATTCTTCGCAGATGTCCAGCTTTGACTACTGGCATATTGTTCACAGAGAAAAAAATGGCTCTGTGTTATTTCATTCAATTAACTGCTTTTTTCACGACATCCTCCCTTGTGATCACCAGTGATTGGCACATCTCTGAAAAACCGAATCTAGGCTTTAAGAATATCGCTATCCGCTGAGGAAGCCTATTCCTGGACTTCCATGATACAGGAGTACAGCTGCCTCAAAAGCAGAAATTGAGTTCGTGCCATTATTGTAATTTTGCAATTATTCTCTGCATTATTTTTTTTAGTAATGTCTCTCTTCTATATTTACCTCCTTTTCATGTGATACAGATACGGTTATAAACACCTGGATATTTACGTTTTGATTATACGTAACTACCAGGGGACTTATTTTGGTTTGCGACAGCCTGTGACGTCTGATCATTATTATGTGCTATTTGGGTCGTTCACGTGAGTTTTGATAAAAATTTGATGACATTTTTAGGTAGTTGGAATGGAAGCCGAGATTTTATAACAATTTTAACGCATAAACTACCGTATTACGTGTTAGCTAACGGGAAGGTCGTGCAAATTGAGTAATTTCTCGCTCTGAGCAAGGTCTCATTCGGCAAAGTTATCCAAGCGTCAAGGCTATCGAAAACCCTATATATTAACCAATATAGGATAGTCTTGCGATGGCCGTAGTTGTAAGTCGCTTTACAAGATGAGGCCTCTTCACTTCTTTTACACCAACAATTTACTAACTTGGTATAAATTTTGGTTAGTTTAACTTAGAAATTTATATTTATGAACCCTGTAGCGACAATGATAGCTGTGACTTATGTTTCTTATATGTATACACCTACAAAATATGTAATATTTAATGCGGCGCTAAATACGGCGTAAAACCAAACTCACTCACTCACTCGACATAGTTGAGATGTGGTGTAGTCCAATAGAATGTAACACTAAACCATTTCTAACTGGACTTCAACATTATATAAATGAAAAGAAACTAAATTAGAATAAAAAGTTAAATACTTTGAATACAGACCAGTGGACACTCCGAAAGTAGTTATAACTACGTATCTGTATCCTGAAACAAAACACAGACTGCTGTCAGATAAAAATATTGGCTTCTAATATCTAAAGTTATTGGTTCGTGCGTCACAAATAGGGTGAAAAAACAACAGATTTTTCATACACGAAACACGAGCAGTCTTTGTTTCCATTTTTTTTTCAAAATGTTTCAAAATCCGACATTGCTTGACTGTATATACATCATTGCCTAGACGCAACCATTATTGCCGAAAACACTTATTTATGTAAATTTAATTTACGTCAGCGTGTCTCACATTTAGTAACACTAAGCTCTGAGTTGAAGGTGTTGACAGCGAACGTTAATTAATCGCGTTTAGAGATAATTCGGACGAACGAAAGTATAACTCGAGAGAACAAAGCATATTACATTCCCTGCGTCCGTCTTCATACAGCAAATCCGATATAAGCCAGTAATAGATTTCCCGTTGCCATGGATTCTGATTTATTTAACGATACATAAGTAGATGATTTTGCATTATCGCTTCCAGTGCTTCGTCTTAAAGAAAGGATCGCGTTTCCTCCAGGCCAGCAAGCTCCTCTCAAAGCATGTTTGGCATGGTGTAAATGCCAGCAAGAACGTAACTATAGCTGGCCAAATTAGCTTGTTCCTTACTTAAGGACAAAGGGTCGCTGTTCTTCACATCAACATTGCCCCATCAAGGCCGAACTCAACAGGGCCTCGCAGCGACAGGGCGCAAAAATAGGTACATAAAAAAATCAATGTCACAGAAAAATACTCTCGATTATCTGACGAAACAGATTCCATTTCGGCGTACACGGTAAAATGGCGGTGAAAATTGTAAATTGAAAATCAGTGACGACACCAGGTGTTCGCGAAAATGGTATGGATGTCCTGCGTGTGTGCCTGTGTGTATATTGTGTGTCTATGTGTCTCTCTGCGTGTGTATGTGTGTTTGTCTGTGTGTATATTGTGTGTCTGTGTGTGTCTGTCTGTGTGTATATTGTGTGTATGTGTGTCTCTCTGCGTGTGATCGTGTGTCTTTGTATGTGTGTGTATGTGTGTCTTTGTGTGTATGTGTGTCTTTGTGTGTGTGTGTCTTTGTATGTGTGTGTGTCTTTGTATGTGTGTGTGTGTCTTTGTATGTGTGTGTGTGTCTTTGTATGTGTGTGTGTCTTTGTGTGTGTGTGTGTCTTTGTATGTGTGTGTGTGTCTTTGTATGTGTGTGTGTGTGAGTGTGAGAGAGAGAGAGAGAGAGAGAGAGAGAGAGTGTGTGTGTGTGTGTGTGTGTGTGTGTGTGTGTGTGTGTGTGTGTGTGTGTGTGTGTGTGTGTGTGTGTGTGTGTGTGTGATGATGACAGCTTGCAAATAATCGAGCCAGCCCAGTGAGTGATATCAAGAGCAACTATCCATGCCGCCACATATGATATGATGACAGGCAATCATCCAGGTCACCGAGCATGGCCGACCGATCCATTATGTCGCCTTTAATGACATGCATAAGTTGATGGGTACACGATGAACTCGGAATTTACGTTCAAGATAAGTTTAGGTTATAATCAGTTTTGATTCCACAAGAGCGAAATAAGCACAGCCAGCTTCTTGGAATTCGTTCAGAGCTGAGAAAAAATATCTTGTAATTTAAATAGTACGGAAAAGTCATTGGAAAGTATCCTATGTCAAAAGAGGTATTTTTGAATCTGTTTGTTACATCAATAACCAAGTTGTCTCGACTGGAAGGTTCGTGTCAGCACCGACGGTCTTCACATCCTGAAGCATCACGTTCCATTATATGCACGGGGATCATTAAGGAACATTTTGTGTCTTTGATGGACTCAAATGCCAATTTTAGGAATACTGCCCATGGGTATGGAATGGCTCATGAAATAATTTAAAAGAAATTTACTTTTAAAGGGAGCATTGATTTGTTGGCATGAATTTGGATATGAAGTGTAAGTTACAGAATACGACTAAATCCATGGCAATAGTCCGTCTAGTTAATGTTGCTTCTACTTCCGTTGCCCATAGTTATCCAACACCGATATCAAGGTTGGAATCTGATTGTGATTCTGTTGTACATATGACAAATGGACAATAGAAATAATTTTTCATCGTCTTTGCAAAGCTTTGTGTATTGGTGGAATTTGTTCCATTTCTGCCGTCTCCACTTCTGTTTGATATTGATTGTGAATATTTCTCTCGCGAAGGACGACACAACTCATTAATTTTCAAGCATTAATCTTAGTCTTCAAAGATTGTTGACATTACCGACTTCTGATCATAGTCTGTAAACCTGCCTCCG